ATATCATCATCATCATCATCATCATCATCATCATCATCATCATCATCATCATCATCATCATCATCATCATCATCATCATCATCATCATCATCATCATCATGGTCATCATCATCATTGCTGGGGTAGACGTTGAAGTCGTTGACAGAAACAAACCAAATATACATTTAAAAAAAAGATTCGACACCAGCCTCAATAGTAACAGGAAAAAAAAACTAAAGACCTCAAAACCACTGTCAACAATACGGTGCATGTTTTGAAGAAGGAGAAAAAACAACTGCTCATTTTGTTATACTCTAACCAGAAAATTACACTACATTACTGTAGATTATTAGATGCTAATCGGGGTCTCTTGTGGCCTAGCGGTTAAGGTGTTCGTCTCTCATTCAAAGTTCCCGGGTTCGAATCCGGTTAGCGACGGAACAACCTTATTCTCTAAAATTATCTCTTTTCACCTCCTTTCCTTCTCTATTGCAAAGTTCTGTCGTCTCTTTTCGTCTCTACTTTCTTTCTCACCCCCCACCCCTTCACCTCCTTTGGCCCCTCCTCTGGGCTCCTGATTCTTTGTGCAGCCTTTCCACTGCTTCTCCTTGGCTTCTTCTTACTGCTGTCTTTCATCATATCCCCGATCTTCTGGTAGGAAAGATCTACACCTAAGCCTTCTCGTACAAGGGCCAAAAGTCTCCCGTTAAAGATCCCTTGGTAGTCCAAAATCGATAAGAGTAGGCTTCGGCCGCCACCCGGCCAAAATTCAAAATTTCATACCAACTGAAAAGGTTTGCTGCGTCAAGTGCACTCAAATGACCTTATGCAGTTGCGAGCACCGTAAAACACTCCCCCCCCCCCAAAAAAAAAAAGAAAAAAAAAAGAAGATGCTCATCTCTTTGGTACAGGCGTCTAGTTTGTGATGTAGTAGTTATAGGCCTTGAAACAATTAAAAGATCTACATTGTGTCGGTGGTGAGCGTGAAGCATGGACATTTACAATTTAGAACAAAATATCTGTGGTTGACACCGTATTCAGCGTGTTGGAAAAACCCATTTATGTTCATTTACTGTTAGTTTGGTTGTTTTGGAAGATAGCATACTCATTAAGTTTTTGCCTCATTATGAATTTCAAAAACCAATCACCTTCGCCACGCATGACAACAGCGAAGTGAATGCAGAATTACCCGGTTCACGAGTTAGGCCGTAATTTTTAAAAACTTTAAATGATTCATCATGCTTCCGACGTCAGTATATTATTATTGAGTCGTGGTGTGACAGAGGGTTAAAGTTTGGTTAGCTGTGCTTGACCATGAGTGGTTTTGTTGTACTGGTAGTGGCTCAACATGTGTGTGTGTGTGTGTGTGTGTGTGTGTGTGTGTGTGTGTGTGTGCGTGCGTGCGTGCGTGCGTGCGTGCGTG